TCCTCTTAGAAAGCAGTACAGTGACAAGATCGTAAATCCCCGCCTCTGCCTTCAATGTCAGACAGTGAAGAGTGCTGGCAATTTGGAGCGCTTCCTGAGTCGGTCGCAAATAAGCAGTTGTGATGTTTGTTGCGTTGCGTTGTGTTGCGTTGTGTTGTGTTGCGTTGTGTTGTGTTGCGTTGCGATTGGGACTAGGGTAATCTTAATAACTATCTATTCCTAGACTTCAAATTCACTCTGTCAAATACAGAGCAGTCTTTTCAAAAGGAATGAGCTACAACTGAGCTGCAGCTCATTCACCAACTTCTTTCACAACCTCTTTGGTACGTAGCTTTCCACTGTCCTGCTACTGTACCTTCTTTGCATACGTACTTGGGCGTTCCGATCAGTCCGTCCTTCGCTAGCCAACACCTGCAGTGTTGTGTTGAGTTGAGTTGTGTTGCGTTGTGTTGTGTTGTGTTGTGTTGTGTTGCGTTGCGTTGTGAGCTGTGCTGTGTTGTGCTGTGTCTTGTTTTGCGAATGATGTTGATGTTGATGTTTGATGTTGAATATTGTGGGGATTTCACCGTCTGTCCCTCGTCCAAGGCCCACGTACGACGGTCATGCCAACTTTCACGATGGGATAAATGGGGTTTGCTAATCGAAGATTACCCGGCGCCGCCTCCACTCCTGGGCTTGAATCGCATGATGTAGTCTTTGTCTGGAGAGATCGCGCACGTATGCTACCATGGAAACTGTGGCAAAAGCCTGATGCTACATACGAGAAGCGAGTAGGTTTGGCACAGTAGCGAGGTACTAAGTTAGTGACTGGTTTGCACCGAGGTCGAATCATAGGATTCGAAAAGGACAATCAATAGGATTGACAGACAAACCCGGACCAAATGGGGTACCGAGCTATGGTGCAAATGAGAGAGAGGGTGGTGAGGGCGGGAAAAGCAAAAAGAGCTGACGGTCTTGACCGAGCAGCTAAACTCCTTCTATCGCCTCCATCATCCCACAAGCTCCCATTGCGAACAATGTCTTCTCCAAATCTTCCGTCCTCTTCGTCGACACTCTTCGCTCCGTCCGCCAACCGTGTACTTCACTGAAGCGACGCGCCGTAATCGACACGACGGAAATTGAGACTAAGGAAGAGCTAGAAACGCCCATACGTCTCCCGTCTTGCCGATCAATAATCAGCTCACGACTGCCAGCTTCTACGTACGTGTACATGTCGTCAGCTGGAACCACATCCAGCAAATCAAAAAGTAAGAGGGGAGGGTTTTAGGGGATTATGCATTCACTAACTCGCCAAATAACAAAACACTGCAGGTGTTGGCTAGCGAAGGACGGACTGATCGGAACGCCCAAGTACGTATGCAAAGAAGGTACAGTAGCAGGACAGTGGAAAGCTACGTACCAAAGAGGTTGTGAAAGAAGTTGGTAAAGGAGCTGCAGCTCAGTTGCAGCTCATTCCTTTTGAAAAGACTGCTCTGTATTTGACAGAGTGAATTTGAAGTCTAGGAATAGATAGTTATTAAGATTAGGAAAGCACACGGCTCTTCTACCTGTAACACCCATCATCATGACCATTACGGACTTCACCGTGCGCAAAACAATCGCCAATGCCGATCTTCACAAAAAAAATTGTCACACATCACAAAACCCGCAACTCAGATAATCTAAACTGACGACCAAGAAGTATAAGATCATGGCAAGAGGTAGACCTCCTGGAACCAAGAATAAGTCAAGTCATTCCGCTGAAGATCTTCCAAGTACAAGAAGCAACAGGCAGCAAAACAAGCAAGAGGACGACAGCACATAGCTGATGCATTTGCCAACGCCAAACGACAGCAATCGGAAACTCCCCAATGGAAAGAGCACCCCTTGTCAAAGAATAACTTCGAAGCATCACAAAAGCTGCTTGCCAAAGTGCTTGATCATCCTTCAATGCCCAAAGGAAAATCAGTGCCGACCAGAGGAATCATTGACCAGAGAAGCGACAATTGGGATATCAGCTATGACATTCCATCTACTACCAATGAAGAAGAGAGCGATGGGTTCTATAGAAGAGTATTAATACCTCCTGCTGGCACACCATTGCGAACATACCTTGACGAGGCAAAGGCACATATAGAGAAAAATGAGTTCTGGAGAAGACGCCAGTACTACCATGGGAATTTCAATTCTCCCTTGGCGTCTGGCCTTGGAGCAAAACCAGCTCCAGACAAGTTCTATTTGCCAGACATGATTCGAATCTGGTGTCCAAGGGACCAGTTCCACAGCATAAAGTTCCAGTACACTTGTACCAGCTGCCAATGCTGCTCAATCATCCAAAAAGAACCAACTTGGAGGCCAGCTTTTGAACAAAATGAGATCCGCTGGGTCTATTGCCACCGCTTGGAATGCAAGAACGATGGTTGTAAAGGGGGCACTTTCAATTCAACCGACCCTTCATTCCTTGGTATGCTTCCCACTTGTATTGCAGACAGCTTTGAATTCATCTTTCCCCCTCAAGGACCTGGAGTTTCAAGATTCATGCTTCGTCGTTTGTCACTGCAAATAGACAATCATGTGCTATTTGGAGCATGGGTTCGTGAGGTGAATGATATGATGTGGGAACGGTACTTTCAAAAGTCCAATCAATACCTTGAATTGCTGAACGATTGGCTTGAGAAATGGCCTTCTGTCTCAAGCTATGATGGCAGACCTCCACTGCACTGTACCAGCTACGATGGCAGACCAATAATCCCATACACAGCATTTGGAGAGGCTGGTCACCACAATGGAATTATGATGACTGAAAACCTCGCCAAAACACTCTTTCGGCTTGCGGAAGGCGGGAAAAGATTGCAATACAACCAGAATTTGTTTGCAGCATGGCAGGATGAAGGCTTGAGAGCTGACGACACTTTCAAGATTTGCAAGAAAGTCCATGTGACAACATCAGGAAAGAAGAGAGTGAAACCATTTGCTGGCCTACTAACTCTTTTGTCTCAAAAAGGAAAGATAGTGGCTGCTGTGTTCAAGTCCAGCATGTCACATGACACAAACACTTGCATTCTTCAAGAGGTAAAGAAAGCGAGAGACCATGTTGGTGCTCCCCCTCTGAGGCTCCTCCAAACTGACAATCCTGTAGGGGAACAAGCTCCTTACTACACCATATGTCCTGGTTGCCTTCCATTGAGATACCACAAACTGACATTGCAGTTCTTGATGATGCCACTGCCATCAACGATTACATTTTGACATTTGCTGAATCATTTCCGGGTGATACTGATATCTATTACGGGCTAGATACAGAGTTTGAGAGAGACGGCCAGAAGCTCACAGTTTTATCATTGGCTTTTCCCTCAATCAATCATTGGTGTACCAGTGGCCATTGTTATTCACCTACACAAGATTGCAAAAAGAGACTTTCCAAATTCTCTGAAGAGGCTCCTGGAGCAGCACAATATGATCCCCACTGGACGTCTGATCGGCGGTGATTGCAAGAAGCTGGAGGACCAACTTGGAGTTCTGATCCAGAGAAGGATGGAGCTGTACAACTTGTGTAGAACTGATAGGGACATTGAACGATATGGACTGAAAGACTTGATGGAAGAGTATCTTCTATGCACATATCCAATGAACAAGTCTGATGCGCAGTCATCAAGCTATGCAAAGGCTAAACTATCACCTACGGATGTGCAATACTGCGCTCTGGATGCAGTTGTCTCATTATGGGTTTGTCACAGGGCATTGGCTTTGTTAGCACAAGGAGGCCAACTTGTTGATCCACATCCAACTTTGCAAGTAGGGAAACGCTGCATCGTAACACACAACACAAAGGACATTGCTGCTGGTACTCTTCGGTTTGTTGGAACCAGAGGAGAGCAGAGATCATGGAACAGCAAAACATTAGGTAGGGCGGATTGCGTGGTTGCTATTGAAAGTCTGATTGATGAAGCGTTTGAACCAAAAAGAAGGCATTCATCCTGGCCACAAACGGCAAAGACACTAGGAGAGCTGAAGAGAAGTCTTCATACTTTTGAACTGGCAGTGAAAGTTAATCAAATCAAGATCCTTTTGGATGACTATCAACCATCTTGCACACCAGCCATGGTAGGCGATGCTACTGTCCAACCTTTCCAAGTCAACAAGAGCTATCTTGATGGGTTACTACAGGAACACCAGGCCAGCAACAACAGTACACCAATGATGCCAATGCAGGAAACGGACAGTGTTGATATCATTGGCCAGGAGGATGGCACTGAGGACAGGGCTGCTGCTGGCCTTGAAGCAGAGATCCACAAGGATAGTGAGACTGGTTTGCTTTTGACAAAGTCAGTGAGGGATCTTTTTCACCAATTTCACAACATACCACTGTCGGAGAAAGCCGATGAAGCTGCACATGTCTGCCAGTTCCTCCTTGCTGCAACTTGGATCAACGATGAGGACGATTATGCAAATGTTGCTGAGGTGGTCCTTAGCAAAGGTGAAACGGATCTTGCTTCCCACGAGTTCTTCCATAGGGAGTATTGGCGAAAACGAGTCAGACGAAACACCCCACTCCCAAAGGATCATGCTAAGAACATTCGAGCTGTGCAATATGAAATATGGACCAACAGGGTCTATCTAAAGATCTCGTTTACCTGTCAAGGAAGCTTGGGGTTGAAATAGCGCCACTACCTCTATCGACCAAAGATGAGTTCACACTGTATAATGATGAGCTGCGACAAATTACTAGGGGGTCAAGAAATCCAAACTCAAATGATTGGGATAACATTGCAAGGAAGTTTCTACAGCGAGCAGATGGAAAAGGCGATATTTCCAAAAATTGCAGATCAGTTGAAGAAGTATTACCATCAGTGGAAGCAGAACCGGTCAAACGTCAGTTTGGAACTAGGGTCAACATCAAAACAGTAGACCTTTGGATCAAACTGAAAGCACAAAAGTCGGCCTTTTCACCAGCTATCATCAACATAAAGTTGCCTTCACAAGTAGAAGGTCCTTTCTATTCCCACAAGCGGCCTCTTGAAGAGAAACTAAATGTTGTGCCACCAGCTGCTGCCTACACTCAACAAAAGCATGTGGGCCTTGAAACCGAAGAGCAGAAGAAACGAAAGACAAAGAAGACGAGCGAACCAATTACATTGGATCAACTGAAGCAGCATCAAAACCATCAGCTAATCAAACAATTAGCAAAAAGATGTGCATGGTTTCCAATGTGCAGTCGTCAAATTCTGGTTTGTGGGGGCACACAACTTGGAAGATGCAGTTTCATAAACAAAGAACACAAGCGTTTGGGACAGGCTGAGATAGGAACACAAGAAATTGGAAAACGCAACATATAGGCGCAGGCAGCGGAAGATAAAAGGCATCATGGAGAAAGCGAGAGAGAACCTTGAGCCTGGCACGAACACTTCCAATGCCATTGATCTGAGTAACGACATTGCAGTTTCGGAAGAGGACTATCTGAGCCAAAAAAGTGTAATAGTGCAATGGGAAGACATTTCGGAATCGGGGGCCATCACATGTGACGGGATCATCATTGAAGAAACGTTGATGAAGGCGCTTGCAACATCTACAGTGATGATTAACGATGCAATTGTCAATGCTTACCTTGCTCTTCTTGTTCAAAAGTGCCATTACTCTGGGAAAAGAAGGAATGTTAAGGCAAAAAACTCGGGAATGTGGCGGACACAAGACGGGAGAAAGAAAGTGGAATCTTACCTGGCGCGTACAAGCCACCCAGTCAATCTCTTTCCTGTATTCTTTGGAAGCCGAAATGCTGGACATTGGGCAGCTCTCATTGCTTGCAATGAATGTTTTCTTGCAGAAGAAAAACGAAAGTATATCTTTATTGACAGCTTGGAGTATTCAAGGAAAGATAATTTCCTTGCAGTGAAACAAATGTTGGGCGCTGAGGAAGATGATCCCGATTTCGTGATGATGAACTCACCTAACCAGGCCCTGGGATCAAACGATTGCGCTGTGTACACCCTTGCAGCATGCGCTCACTATGTGTTGCGAGATGGCAACCGGTTGCCTTCCTCATTCCGATTCCAAACTGATATTGATGCCGCAATGTTTGGCAGAGCTTGGAGGCGCCATGTATTTGAATCCCTTGTGAATGAGAAGATAAATATGGAGGATCCAGTTCTTTCTTGGATGGAACTGCAATATGGAGCATAACAATAAGCAAGTTAGAAGTATTAGACATAGCCTTTGGCGCCAGCATGACGTTGAGTGTACTCACGGCTCCTTGATTAATCGGTGAAGCTTTTCGCCAGATGCAGGGGACGCTGTATAAGCTTCATGGTAAAGCATAATCAAATGCATTCCTTTTAGTAGTAGTAAGCAGTGCAGTAGCAAGATAAAATCCCATTCCGCTGCTGCTTTCAAAGAATGTCGACCGAGGCGAATGTTGGATCAAATGTTGGAATCAACACGTTCTCTTTTCGAAGCTTCACACTTTCTATAAGAACAAGTGATTTAGACACAGGTTCCGTCCATGATCACTCCCAAAAAATCAGTTCTCGGGAGGTACGGCCCATACCGGTACAGGTCGATATTTTTTAGAAGGAGAAATTCGTGCCAAATCCGTAAAATGCTGCCGCTGATTTGTTGACTGGTGATTGATAATCTGTGAGTGATGATCAGTCGTCTTCTGTTTTCTTGCTGCTGGCTGTGCTGCACCAGTCTCATCCTTGACTCCGATGCGTTTCTTCCATAATTAGTCGCATTTGTTGTGTGGCTGGTGGATTGTTTTCGGCACGTCCTTTGTTGCCAATCTTTTGATCGTGGTGATGTTGATCGGAGCAATGACGTCTGCAAAATTGAAAATGCAGCTCACGACAAATCACATCGCGACATATCCGGGTTCAAAGTGCTTAATTTTTGATTTTCAAAAACTATTGGTCTGCCCTCCCATCCTGCTCCCATCGCATGGAAATTCTGCGATGATATTGGCGACACGTAGAGGGCAGTAGGAAAAATACGGGGATTTTCAAAAATACCCGACCCCATTTATCCTAACTTCCACTGATCCGAAAATACGAAAGTTCACAAAAAATGCACAGAAACTTGGACCGATCAAACAGTCCTGGCAGGCGCGTGGCCGGCCGGCAACATTTGGGTCGCTCTTACCGGTTCGGAACCGACTTTTTCTATGGTGCCTGCGGCGCCAAGTTTCGCAAAATTTGCGAAACCTCGCGCTACGCGCGAAACCTGGAATTTTTTCGGGAGTGCTCCTGACTGACTCATGCGACCATGTTGAACGTGTTATGGCCACGCGAAATTTCAGAGCAGCCAGACCATCTCTCCTGGTATTATCGATGTCGGTATCGTTTGTAGTTGTATTGACAGGTAAGATTGATCGTTGACAGCCAAAAGGTTCATAGGCTTCTGATAACGCGATGAATGACACAGCGACGTCTTCGTTCGGGAACGTTTATAGCATCTGGAAATCTAGACTCTACACTCTCACTCTTTCCCTTCCTCGTACAATTTCCAATCTTTCTTCAGTCAATTGACAGTCAATTAGCAGGAAACAGTATTCTTCTTTGCGTCGTTGCACGTCTAAAAAAGGAATTGTTAGCATCAAAAGACGCTTCAGCATCAAAATACGCTGTCACACAAAAATCGATAGTCTTCAAAGAGTCTCTCACTGACGCTACATTTTTGTTCACGACACAAACAACAAGATCACAATCAGAGAAAAGAGGAAGACGATCGTAGTTAGAACAAAACATGTTTGGCTCTAGTGTACCTTTCGCCCCCCCCTCGAGTGGCTTTGGACAGCAAAACACAGTACCGACCTTTGGAGCTCCAGCTCCTCCATTTGGAGGCGGTGGTGGCGGTTTTGGAGCACCGGCTCCAGGAACCTTTGGAGCTCCAGCGCCAACATCCGGCGGTTTCGGAGGTGCATTTGGAACCCCTTCGCCTGCACCTGCGTTTGGTGGAAACACTTTCGGAGCTCCAGCTCCTGCGTCATCATCATTCGGTTCTACTGGCGGTACATTTGGCTCTGGCCTGCCATCGTCATCACCCTTTGGTGCTCCTGCTTCCGCACCATCTGGCGGGATGTTTGGGTCTGCAACTGCACCGTCCGGTGGGATGTTTGGTTCAGGAAGTTCTTCTACTCAGGCAGGCTTCAATAGCGGGAATGGAGGATTCGGAGGTGGAGGAGGATTCGGAACAACGCAAACCCCACCACCGGCATTTGGAACAGCCACCTTTGGCTCACCAGCACCGTCATCGGGGCTGTTTGGGGCACCATCGCCTAGCACTTTCGGCGCCGCAAGTAATGCGTTCGGAACAAACTCCGCTGGCAGCAACTTTGGAGCTCCTGCCCCTTCAGCAGGAATGTTTGGAGCTCCTTCTCCTTCGGTAGGAATGTATAGTGCCCCAGGAGGCGGAAGCGGTGGTACGAAATCGACTCCCTTCGCTGTTACATCAAAGCAAGATGGTTCGACAACCATCAATCTGCAGTCCATTTCCGCAATGCCACAATATGAGCAGAAGTCATTTGAAGAACTACGCTTTGAGGACTATGGCCAAGGAAATCGTGGAACTGGTGCATCTGGGAACAGTGGAGGATTTAGTGGTTTTGGTACTTCATCTCCAGCTCCTTCGAGTGCATTGTTTGGAGCCCCTGTGCCGGCACCTTCCTCTTTTGGGGCTCCTACTCCAGTATCTGGTAGCTTTGGTGGCTTTGGAAGCACCCCAGCTCCTTCAACTGGATTTGGGGCAACTAGTGCTTTCGGGGCTCCAGCTCCATTTAGTGCAACCGCACCAACCCCTGGAGGTTTTGGCAACCCCACCTTCGGAGCGCCAGCTCCATCCACAGGTCTGTTTGGCGCCCCTACCCAGGCACCAGCTACAATACAAGGCGGTGGCTTGTTTGGCAGTCCAGGTCCTGCACCTGGAGGACTATTTGGGTCTAACTCTACACCTGCGCCAGCTTTTGGAACTCCAGCTCCTATCACAGGGAGCTTATTTGGTAGCCAAGCTCCAGCTCCTGCGACTACTGGTTTGTTTCGTGCCCCCGCACCGGCACCATTTGGGGCGCCTCCTTCTGCAGCCTTTGGAGGTAAGACACTCACTAGACAATTCATTCGACGATTCATCCATTTGTTCATGAACTATTTTTTTTTTCACAGCTCCAGCTCCAGGTGCATTTGGAGGCTTTGGCACGCCTGCTCCAGCTCCGACAAGCAGTCTCTTTGGCAATCCAGCACCTGTTGCGTTTGGTACTCCAGCACCAAGTGGGGGACTTTTTGGATCTCCGGCTCAAGCTCCGGTTGGAACCTTTGGAGCTGCTGCGCCTAGTGCATTTGGCACTCCAGCTGCTTCTGGTAGTCTTTTTGGAGCGCCTACACCAGCAGGTGGGATTTTTGTTGCTCCATCAGCCCCAGGGGGATCTCAGCTTTCTGTTGCGCCACCTATGGGCTCTATTATGCCCCCTGCAACGACTGAGATTCTAACTGCACAACTAGTAGCTCTAGAAACTAAAAGGAGTGAGATGGAGCAATCTGATAACTTTGGAACACTCCCAAACGAAAGCTCTTCCGTCAACAGTATCTCGGTTTCTGAAAGCGAGGGATTGCAACCATTGACTCCTTCAAGGGCATTCTTGCCATCATATCATTCTACACCAAGATCAGCATCAAAAATCCGACCTCGTGGGTTTGCTTTGCCTGAAAATAATCTGACAACTCTTTGTAAACTGGGGGGTGGTGGTCGACCCATGGCAGCACCTAATTCTTCAGCAGTTGCTTCAACATCTAGATTGGTTATAAAGCCAAGCCCAAAACCAAGAATCAAACTTTTGCTCAAGCCCTCGTCTACGAACAAAGATTCACTTTTGAAAACCAAGAGCTCACCAGATAAGACATCGGGATCATCTGATAAAACAAGTCCATCAGCCAATTCCATTAGCCATGGAAATGCTCTCTGTGCTACAGAATACGCTGTGGCAAAAAGCGAGAGAAGTTCTCAAAGAAGCGACATGAAGGATAATGAGCCACCTCGGATTACACCAAAATCCGGAGCGCCTTCGAGAATGGTTGCGCCATCTTTGAACAAGAATGGTTACACCTGTAATCCAACAATCAAGACTCTACAAGGTATGCTACCTGAAGATTTGGCTGCAGTTCAAGGATTTTCTGTTGAACGTCCACATGTTGGGAAAATCGAGTGGGAGGGTGCTGTTGACATTCGATATCTGAATCTGGATACTTTGGTGGTCATCGACGACAGTCCACAATCCGCTTCGGTGTACACACAAGAGGAGAAAGACGGCACGAAACCTCCAGTTGGAACAAAGCTCAATAGACCTGCTGTAATTACTTTGGAGAATGTCTTTCCTCCAGAAGGAACGCCAAAAGACAAATTTGAGAAACGGGTTGCAAAATCAACAAAAAGGAATAATGCTGAACTCATCAGCTATAACTCCTCTTCTGGCAAGTGGACTTTCCGAGTCTTGCATTTTAGCCGTTATGCGTTGGCAGATGATGACACTGACTCTGAAGATGAAAGCGAGCACCATTTTGAATCAGGGAGAGGTGCAGGGCGTTCCCAGGGTAAGTTAGCCCCAAGTCATTTGAATGCAAATGCCATTTTGCTGAAAGCGAGAATAGACGATTGTGCAACAAAGTTGGAATTGGATGTTGCGCTTTTTGATGCACAAAAGGATGTTAAAGCAGAAAGGAAGCAAGGAATGCTTGATGGGGTGGTGAATGAGACCAGTGCAATTGGTGCTTTCTTTGAAGAACCTGTGGTGGATGAGTGGGACATCGCAACGAAGTATATCCCCACCACCGAAGCAGTCAGCGCAACACGGGCGAGACCAGGCATTTGTTCCGCCAAAGCCCATCAAGCAAATTTCGTAATGTCTTCTATTGATTTTGGTTTCACAATGGGCAAGTCTTTTCGAGTTGGTTGGGCTCCAGATGGTTCATTTACGGCTTTTGGGACTGATAGAACACTTTCACGTCGGAAACCAGTCTTCTCTAGCCAAACGGCAGAAGAAATTCATCTCTTGCAACAACACCAGGAGAATTCCGACAAGCTGGCGGTCCACGGGCGACTGTCAGATTGTCCCCAGTTTCGCTTTCCATCTTTCAAATCAGACCAGACCGCAGTAAGGAAAGTGTTCAAATCATATAAAGACATGAGCTGTGATGAGAAAAGCCCTTTGATATCAGTTGCTAAGACGGCATTTTCCCTTCTGGGTTACCTTGCAGAGAATTTGGGAACCTTCCCAGGTAATGGCGACTGGAAAGGTCGGTCTTCACTTGAAGCTCGACGAATTCATGCTATCATTTGCTGGCTTGTAGATTCTTGTTCAGAAGAGGTTGACGCGGAAATTGATAAATGCATGTCTCAAGGTCGAAAGCTGGACGCGCTTCTTGCTGCTGTGACCGGGGGAGACAAAGACAAGGCTTGTAATTTTGCAAGCGATGTTGGTTTCTTCCAACTGTCAACCATGCTGTCTTCTAGACACGCATCGAACAATGATTTGTTGCGCCAGGCGTTATGCTGGACAGACAGTGGTGCTAGCTCAAGTTTATCTGAAAGTTTTTTAAGAATCTATTTTCTGATTGCTGGAGATTCAAAAATGGAGGAGGAGATTTATCGAAAAAAGTACAGTCCTTATGACTGGCGCCGTCGACTTGCAATGACGCTTATCTATGATCAACCAAACCAAGATCTAAATCTTTCTTCGATAGTTGCAGCCTACGAAGAGAAAGTGAAGACTGGGGTTGCCCCATATCCACAACCTCAGTATCTACAGGGAACTAGCACAAGAGAAATACATTGTGTTCTCTACCGTCTCCTTCGATTGGAGGAATTCGGACCAGTGGCGTCTCTATCAGCGACAATAGATCCACTTGGTTATTGCAATTCAGCACACGACTATTCACTTGCGTTCCATTTGGCGTCGGCTATCTCAGCAATGGAATACTTTTTTCCTGTAACACCCGTCGAAATTTGCAGCTTAATGGATAGCTACACAGCTCAATTGCTGATAAATGGAAAGTGGGAGTGGGCTGTGTATGTCTCGTTATGTTCCATGGTTCCCTTGGATGCAAATAGTATTCATATGGAAAGAGCAAAGAAACTTGTATTCCAAAACTACACTGGTAGTACATCAAAATCTAGATATTGCAGAGGGTTTCTCGAGTCGGTAGGGGTGCCTTCGAAATGGTTTGAAGAAGCCAGTGCCTTGCGATGTGCGATCGGTGGCGATTCCCATGGCCACCTATGCCACATGGCCAAGGTATCAGGTGACAATGTTGCGTCAATTTTGGAAAAGACTGTGGTTCCAAATATGCTTTTCATGAATATGGAGAAGTTGGAGCAGGCCTTGAAGCTTCTGGAGGTGTTTGCAGTGGAAGGTGATTCTCTTGCTCTTGCATTATGCAACTTGTTTCAATTGTATCAAAGTATTTCTGAACTTGATGGTGCAAGTCGAGCTGAAATTGAATGCGCAATACCATCTCTGTCCGAAGCTTGCAGTAGCATCGAGCAGGTACTGGTAACTTACAAATTGGAAGGTACAGCAAGAAGAGAAGCTTTTGTTTGCTTCGCCCCTGTCGTTGTTCCATTCGTATCATTTTTGGCGGAGGCCATGTCGCAAATTTCGCTCTTCAAAATAAAACTGACAGCTCTACAGTCAGAGATACAAATCTCAGGCTCTGTTTCTCAGATTCTGAACCTAGCTCAACCAAAGCACCAGGAAGTCAACAGACTTGGTATTTCTGACCGCGAAAGCATCTGCAAATGGTTGCTTTAGGTATGGCATCAAGAAACAAGCCCAGCATCCATATATGGTAGTATACAGTTTCTAGCCGGGGTGATCGAATATAAAGTTGTTCATATCTATCTCCAGATGATACTTATTCTTTGTTATAGTGAGAGCATCATTAGAGAGGTTAAGGCTATTCAACTTAACCTTGATCATTCTCCTACAGATGTGAATCCCGCTTTTGCATGAATATGGCTCATGTCGGATTGAAACGATATTGGAACCATGAAGTCATCCTTCCCTTTCTTTGTTGGGACAACTGTCGCACGTGACATTTTCATTGTGCCTTGACCATCGACTGCATCATCACGAAATCTACCTTCATATACCACTCCATTTGTCAACGTTAGTGTTCCTCGACCTTCTCGACGTCCTTTCGAAAAGAGTCCCTCATACTTTTGGCCACAGGGATAAACGGCAAAACCACGCCCTTCCATAGAATTGTTTACCCACATACCATCGTAATAGAATCCATCCGAAGTCTTGAGTATGCCTTGCCCCGTACTGACAAGAAACATCTAAGCTGTCTAGCTCTGTTGCATATTTACTACAATGTCACTTCAAAAACGTACCGTATTCCATCTTTCCATTCTCCGTCATAACAAGAATTATCAGCCCATGTTAATACACCTCTACCATTCATCAGCCCATTGCTCCACATGCCTTCATAGACAGACGTATCCGGAAGATAGTACTTTCCAATGCCATTCCGCATATTTTCTTTGAACTCCCCAGTGTATCGAGCGCCTCCGTCGGTACATTTGGAGTTTTTAGCTTGTTCGTAGTAGTATATTCCTTTCCCTTGCATTCGGCCTCGTTCAAATTCACCCTCGTAGATAATTCGAGTACGGTCAGACGTCATGACTATGCCGTACCCATGCTCCTTGTTCCATTTCCATTCACCTTCATATAGCATATTATTTGAGTACAAACAAGTCCCTCTACCTGCACGTTTCGAGTCAACCATTTCCCCTTCATAAATGACATACTTTGGGTTCGTTGAAGTACTGCTGAAAGAAGACCCAGTCGAAGATTGTTGCTGCTTTGAATGTTGAAACTTCCCCTGTTGTTGTTGTTGTTGCTGTTGCGGCTCTTCTGGGTCATGCCGTTGATAATACAAGAAATGAGCTGCCCTCCACTTCGACAGTTGTGCATCACCCGTTGAAGGAAGCTTCATTGCATCCGATAATGCAGCAATGTGGGTATGCTTGGGGATGGTCTTGAACGTTCCAGCAGCCAGTCCTTGCCTGCGCACAATACCAACAGGGTTTGATGATTTCCTTTTACTTGGTGTCTTGGCCGTGTCAACGTGGTTGATACACGATCCTGTGGACAACAGAATTGAATCAGCTACTGACTCCATGGAACCAGCCGCTACAATATCACTTGGTATCCTTCCTCCATCTGAGTAGCCCTCAGCCGTGTTAGATGTCTCCACATTCATTTTTCGCTTTTTTCGTTTGGAGGATTCATCTTCGCCATTTCCTTCTTGCGATTTGACTTTCCAGGATGGTTGACGCTTTCGAGTGAAGTACGGCCTTGTCGACTTGTGCCTCGTTACCACAGGTGTAGCCAACCGCTGTTTTTTCTTCTTGTTTGGAGATGGCTTTGTGGTCGGAATTTCTTCCTCTACATGGACATACTGTCGTTGGATCTCCATTTCCATAGTAGAAATATTCAGATGACCACAAAATTCAAACATCCCAAATTGATTATCTCCGCTTCCCCGGACAAGAATCGGATCTTGAAAATGCGTTGGTGGCATTTGGTTTTGCACTCCATCAAAGGAGAATACAGCGTTGTTACCAGGGCGCGCATTCAAAAATAAGTAGAACTGTTCTTGGACTCTCTGTGTGCCCTTTCCACGCCCCACGGTGGCATTTTGAAAATACCCTTTCCACAGTCCGCTTGGAGGGCAAGGATTGTGGGCGTCATCTGCAGCTGACTTGGCGAGATTCTTTGTGTTCTCGTGGTCCAAGCTGTCGCCATTCTTGTGACGAAAGAAAGAAAGAGCATCCGTAAACGGGGGATCGGTGGAAGAAACCACCGCAAAAGACAATGAAAGATCCAGCTGTTTTGGGCCTGTAACTTGTAATTTCGCTCCGTCTGCATTAGTTTTGGTATCGGGCCTGTGAGCATTCCAAGTATGGGGATCAGCATATGTGTCATTGTTTCTGTCCGCAGTCTTACATTTGCCTGGGGTCATTTGTCCTAAATCGTCAATTCTCGATACTTTCCGTTTCTCATTTGATTTACATTTCAAATCGGGTTTCATTGCTTTCTCAACTTTGGGTTCTGCATCGTAATTCTGCCTCGAAACTGACGACAACCTTCGGGGCATTATCGCCACCTCTGTCGAAGGCGTGAGAGACTTGGGATCCATGCATGTTTTGTTCAGAATGGAATGTGGTGCATCAGTAGCATTTTCTGCGTTGGTTTTGCTTTTCACTCCTGAGCATGATAGTGAAGATCTACTGGGTAGAGTTTTGCCCTCCTTTTCTTCAAGGGCAAGGCCACCACTCAATGTTGTGGTAGCATCATCACTTCTCGGGTCGGCCTTACACGGACTGCGTGCTTTCATGCCATCGTCTTTTGAAGACTTTAAAGATAAAGATAATTCTGCCCTTTTCTTAAAACGATTGTTTGGCAATTGGTCATGCATTGTAGAACGGCTTGTCAATCCTGCCGAATATTGGGCGTTGTTTTTCACAATATTGTCCACTTTTGGAGTGTTGGGATCCGTCGGCAAAGATTCAAGTAGGGCAAGGGAAGGAAGAGCAACGTCAGAAGGGTCTGCCTCTTCTTCAAAGTAGTAGTGAAATGGTTGAAGTTTATGAGCCTTTTTGGGAAGAGGTGTCGCGCTATTTTTGTTGGCAAAGGTTTCATTGATGTGGGAACCAAAAGCCCATTTCCCTTTCCAGTGCCATTTCCTAATTTTTCGAGTTATAGTGGCAGCTTTATTCCAGGTTGGGGGGGTTTCGCTTTGATTTTTTGATTTGGCTGTGATGGCTGCAAGTGGCTTCTCGTCATGCTGAGAATCACCTTTCGCAGTCGACTGGATTGTCTCTTTTGTTTCTATCAATTCTAGTTTCCCTTTCAGCGCAACAGTAGACATCTTTTTCAATGCAGATCTTGCTTCTTTGCTTTTTCTTTCTTTCCTTTCTTTATGGCTCACTATTGCAAAAATTCGGTACTGTGGTGAAGGACCATCCGCAACGCGTCCGTACGTCATCCGTTTTTGGGGAATGCAGGGGTTTGAATTACCGGGGGAACGCTGAGTTGATTATTTACGGGGGTGTTTGAAAGGTTTTTATTTTATGCTGGTGGAGCAGTTTTGAGTTAATGTGCCCGTTATTGAACGATAACAGAGCGATAAAGGGGTTTGACTAGTTACAGTGTTGCAAAAGGGAGATCATCAAAATTATAAGCTATTGGTTGACGATAGCCATTCATTCTAGTCCATCGAGTCAACTCGACACGGGGGATTCAATTCAGTCCCCTCGCAATGGCACTCTCTGAGTTTCATTGCGTTCCATTGAATACCTATTATCAAATCTTTGCCCAGGCAGTTTATTTGGATCCAAGATGATCCGGGGAACCTTAATAACCCTCATACCTGACTCGGTCAGGAGGACTGCCATTTCATCGAAAGTCATACATCACAATGTCCAGTAATCCGTCTCTCTTCTGTCCGGGAGGTACAATCTTTGTAGCTAGGTCAGCTGGGTTCTTCTCTGACGGGACATGACCGGTGATCATTTCACCAGCAGCAACGGCTTCACGACACGCATGGTATGCAATCAAATTACATTTCTTCTTCAACGTAGAATCAGGTCTCTGTGTATTGTGAATGACAGACATGTTGTCTCCGTAGGCGTAAGTAGGTCCCTCCATGGGAATTCCCATCATGCGTAGTTTGTATCTGAGTCCCCTCATTCGATCCATACCCTGTATCAGTGCGCAAAACTCAGCCCCAAAGACGCTGGTCTCAATCCGAGCCTGTTTCTTTGAGTGGGCAATCACAAGGGCATTGTTGACATAGATCATGTATCCAGTACGAGAGCGGCGGCCGATGTTGTCACCAGCTAAGTCACTGTCAACATACAGGATGACATCAATGGACTTGCCTCGTGGTTCAGGCGCGTTTGGAGGTATTGGCTCCGTTGATCCAGGGTACATATCGGACCAGTTGCATGTCTTGAAGACAGAGTGATCGATCTGTGGGTAGGATGGGTCCATTACAATAGTAGCATTGTGATGAGCTTTCAGGTAGGCGAACATGTGGAAAATAGATTCGAGGTGTCCTCTGCGGGGAAGAGCAAGGTGAGACGCAAGCATACTAACTTCAGTGATGATATCAATTCTACCAATTTTGACCATCCAGCGCAAAATACCAACAAGGGATTGGAAATACGATGCTTCCTCTCCTTCAAGTTCTTCTGTCATGTCAAGTTCAGGACGGTAGTTGTTCGGTAAGGGTGATCTGGCTCTGGATCCTTTCTTCAATGTGGTCCCATGGTGTTCCTCTAAGTAGTTCGACACGAGTCTCACGTTCTCTTGGACATATTTGCTCGGACTCAAGGAGTATGCAACAACCCCGTTCTTCAGAGTGGTAGTACGGAACTTGGCCCCTAGATAGATATCAGGATCGCCAACAGAGTCTGGTTTTAGCATGAATGCCTTGTCGATTTTCTTGAGCGCTCCCATAGCATCGTGGTGGATCATTAATATGCCGTCAACGTAGAGGAGTGCGTAAGCGTAGTATTCAAAGCCATCATCAGGTCTTGTCATTGGCATATAATATACGTCAGGGTCGGCCAAGCAAGGTTTCCATCCCAGATTTTGCATATACTCCGAGAGGAATGTTCTGTAGTCATGCCCAGCGGCCCGTAATCCATATAATGCACGTACAACAATAGCTTTGCGGCCTTCGTCCTTCCCAAATTCAGGGCCACAAACTGTCCAAATCTTTTCACTGACGAGAGGCGCTGTCAAGTAGGCATTCTGGATGTCAGCAGCTTTGACTTCCAATGCATTTAAAGCGGCAAGTGTTAGGGCAATTTGGACAGATTCACAAGATACAACGCTCGAGTAAGTTACGCTAGGGCATGGTGCCTCAGTCATGTGGCCACCAGCAACCAGTCGGCATTTTCGGCGGAGTGTTTTCATTTTGACATCAAAAACGATATGGCACTTGATTTTGGCGTGCCCAACTGGTGCTTTGTCTTCCTCGTTGAGCATCTTGAAAGCCACACGAACATTGCTCATCTCCTTCCCAAGGGCCTGTTCCCACAAGTCGTTGCCATTGATTCGATCAAGTTCACGGGCTTCTTGGACTGTTTTGGGAATTCTGATGCCAAATTTGTGTGTTGGCTTGTGGTATCGGCTCTTGACTTTGGCAATGATTGCATTTCGTTTCTTCAAGATGTATGGAACCCACCACTTGAATGCAGGTAGGTGATCTATTCCAGTTGCGACGGAATACTCAGTAACCTCACTGGGGAAAGATTCCTTGAGATCAGACAGTCGCTCCCAAGTAGTGGTACCGTCCTTCCATTGGACACAAAGCTGCCATCCTTTTGTGATACATTTCTGGACAAGTCGTCCATGGTATCGGAATCTGTCGTTGCCAGGTTGGATAGCAGTTTTGTCTGTCTTATGGTCAATGATGGAGTCGAGCAGGAGGAATTGATTGCCGTTCTCATCACATTGCAGGTACATTCCCTCAGCAAGTACGTTTGATGCATAAGTGGCTTCGGCCCCATCAGGGAATTCAACGGTATATGTGCGAGTGTCCAGCATTGGGACAGCATGCCCATTTCCTCTAAGACTTCCGTCTGCTTCCCTCTTTCGTCCAGTGACCTTTCCAGTTACGATCTTGTCCCCTCTAGCAAGCAGCACTTCAGCATTGAGGTATCGATCATCGTAGTCGTGCTGTTGCTCATCCCTATCAGGCATTAGATCCAATCCTTCTCCAGAGTCATCCTCATAACGATCATATGCAGGGGTGAGATTGTCCTCACTGAAATCTTCAGGCTTTGCCTTGTCACCCAACTTGTCATTCACATTGGTATTGAAGTCATTACGTAGGCGTTTCTCGGCGTCGTCAGCCATTTCTTCGGATGTTAGGGCTCTGAAGGTGGAGGTGTGGTGGTAATTTCCGTTGTGCTTAAGTATCTTTCCAGTCAAGAGGGATCCGATTCCAGGGCTTGGTCCCAAGTATCGTCCAAGAGACATCTTATCATCAGGGAATTTTGCAGTCTCATCGTAGTATTTTACCCACTGATACCATTGGAAATCACACCATGGACCAATATTTGCAGTCTGTCCAGTCATAACAGTCTCCGGCACCTCCCCATCCAAGTTGTATATGTTAAGGGCGGTGTGAGATCGGATGTAGGCCCGATGTTCTAAACAATCATCCCATAGCCTCTTTGGCGTTCCAGTACGGAGCATGACGTGTGCAGTGTCTTTCTTCAGCTCTCTGATTGTGCCTTCAGCAGTGTTTTGCCATGGTGAATAAGGCTCAGTTGTGCGGAAGTCACATCCAGCTTGTCGGACGCGTTTCTTATAGTCCCCACTGACAAACTCCTTTGCTCCATCAACTATCAAGGCCGGTGGAACGCTGTCCCTGTTGAATAAGGTGGATAGCGCTTCAGGTGCTTGTCCTTTTGTTCGAAGTGGATGGGCCCGGCACCAGCCATTGTCTGCACCAAAAATATGTGCATATTCATTCATTCTCTTGGACTTCACATCGGCTTTCATCAGATCGCCATATAGGTTGTGATTTAATCGTCGGAGTCGGATGAAGCGATCGTTTGTTGGTCATCTCCTGGTCAGGGATGGGTGCAGTATAGTCCTAGCTCCTCGTTGGGTAGTTGCTTGGATTGTCTTTGTGGCTGCTTCGATCCCAATCCCCCAGTTGCGTGCTAGCTTGATCGCGTCAACTGCAGGGCCTTTGTATGCTGACCAAACAGAAGAGATTTGAACCATGTCACTCAGTTGTTGTGAGAAGTGATGGTCGTTCAATCTGGGATCAATTTCGTGTAGGATAGCATGTTCTTGGGAAACGGTTTCGGAGATGATGCGTGGATTATTGGTGGAGAGTTCAGAATAGAGCGGTGAAATGAAGTGTCGGTTTTTCAGGTCCCCTCTCTCCAGCAGTCTTCCGGCATTGTCGACCAGAGAGTCTTCAACAAGTTGGTATTTGGTGGTGCGGGGGTCCCAGTCTGGTGCGTTGGCGGTGAGGGAGACATGTTCGCAAGTGGCGTATTCGGCGGCGGTGGGCTTGCGGACATTGAGATAGGAAATGGTGCCGTGGATGCGTACCGGTAGCGGGAGGCGGGTAATATCGTTGAGATCGTCAGATGGGGCAAGGATGCAGTGGTCGTTGTCGTTGGGGCAGGCAGTAAGGAATTTTGGGCGGTCATTAATGGTAACATTGTTCGTCCGTGATTGCATTGTGCTCAAAAGATGGTGGTCCATATTCGGGAAATGGATGGCTTGATGGAGGAAGAGGATGATGGTTTCACCAGTGGTTGGTCGATTGTATGCAATTGCAGCAGTGACAACCTCAAGTTGGCGGCTAGTGGTGGAAGGATCATAGCCACAGACATCCACAACCTTTCCAGAGCGCGAGACAATCATCGCTTGGGACCCGACACAAGTGGTGTCAGCGTGGGAGTCTAATTCTAGCGTGGTCTCTTCCGCAAGCGGGCTGGTCTGGGTTATTGCAATAGTCCGGATGGCGCTGATGGTGCGAAGCTGGACAATTTGGGTCTGGCTTCAGTCATTATCACCTTGTTGGCCACGGTTTAGCGCAGGGTTGGTGTGGTTTCCGTTGGCAGCATTACCAGTAGCGTTGCCTCCAGTCCTGTCATCGTTGTCATTTCTATCCTGTGTTCGGGCAGACTCCTTGGATTCAAGCTCGGCAATACGGCGTTTCAAGTCTTTGAAAGTAGTTCGGCCATTTTTCTTGTCAGTTTTCTTGCCTGCTCCAGAATCCTTGGGAGTTGTCTTGTCTTTCTTGTTGCTATTTTCAAGTTTGCGCTTCTTTCCTTTGCGTTCTTCCATGATTGCGTTCCGTTCGTCTTTAGGCATTGCATGCCATTCGTTTGGGGGTCTATGCCTGGTGTCGACCGAGGCAATGTGTCTTCCGTCACGTGATCGTTTGCCCAGCACGAGGGTATCTTCTCTGTTGTCAATGAACTCTTTGATATGAGCGACCGATTCGTCAAAGCTGGTTCCCATGGTTGGGGAAGCGATGATCATGTTAATAGCTGTGTCGAGCTCTCGAGTGACAATCTGATCAATGAGCTTGCGGACTCTGGTTCGCTCGTCATAAAACTCAAAACTCAAAAATCAAAAACTAAAAGGTAGAAAATATTTTTCCACGCACAGCACCAAAACAGAACTGTACCAGTCCTACGCGTTTTCTACGTAAAGGAAAACAGTTGTTGTTGCTGAAACAGGAAAGAAATTTACTTTATCATGAAGGATAACATCATCAACCCGCCGGAGAAGGCTCCGAATTTGATCAAGACTGTAGCTGACCAAGGTCAGGGAGGTCTCGAGGCAAAAACCCGATCAAGTTCGACCACTCAATCGCCGATTGCTCTGACCAAGGATAATCCTGCCATCACGACTCCCAAGCGCAGCAGCAAGCGACACCCTTCAGAAACCGCCGAGGATGGCGCAATGCAAGGACGCTCGCTCTTCCCATCTGAAGTTGCCCAAGGTCAAGACGTCCCCACGGCCAACACTCGACCGATTCCGACCACTCCTTTGTCGATCGATTGAACCAAGGACAATCCGCCTGATCCCACGACTTCAACGAGCCAACGCAAGCAACCCCCTCCTTCCAAAACCGCCGAGGATGGCGCAGTGCAAGGACGATCGCTCGTTGCCTACATCACAAAACTCAAGGTGTCAAAGTTTCACAGGCTCTACAAGAAGGCTTGGAGACAGGAGATGTGTGCTCTCGCAACGGCCCAAAGCGTTATCACTACTGACAAAAAGTCGCCTCGCTTTTGGGAATTTTCGCTCGTGTTCAACCCGACATTAATTGTTAAACGCGCCGAGCCGTTGACTTGGATGTGGCGAATGGCATCCGAATTCTTCGCTAATCCTTGGACACTCCCTGCTATCATTCCTCACATTGTGGAGGAATTTGAGCGACTAAAACGAGAGCCAACAATAGCCAAAGCTCAGTCCAAGTTTAAGAAGCGACTCGCATCCACGCCAGCGAACTTGAAAGGTGCCGAGGCACACAATTCTCCCGAGAACCTTAATCCAAGCAATGAACCCATGGAATTTGTTGAAATCGTTTGGCATGCCTTGACAACGGCGTTTCCAACAAAACAAGGTTGGAACCAGAACGAAGAACTTCTCAGCTATTTACACACAACAACAATCCTATTTTATGATGTCTACGCTGCCCATCAGAAGTGGCCACCAACCATGGGCTCGAATGACAACAAATCACAAGAGATGGCTTTGAAATCGACGAGGACTGCACCTGAGCACGCTCAGGAAAGTCTGGAGGCAACAACCCGCTCGAATTCTACCACCCTATTGACGGTTGACCTTGTGAAGGACAACCCCTACGAACACAAACTCTCCATGTTGTACGGCAAATTTGTCTTGTTTCTTTCTCTGGAAACGATACAGCAGACCGATTTTCTGGTTCTCCATTTCCAAATCCTCACCATTAGAGTGGGAGCGCCGATCTGCCCATTGACAGTCCTGGCTAGAAAGAATTGCATTCAATTCTTTCCTTGGAAACGATACCCACAAAATTCCTTCTGTATCCAAGGAGATATTCGGGCACCTTGTTTGTACTTCCCCACCAACAGTGGAAGCGCCAATCTGTCCCCTGACATGATTGACTAGAGCAACTTTTTCTTGAAAAATGCCTCAACGTGGTTCAAACTTATCTGACTAAAAGCAGCATAGTTCCTGGCCTCTACAGCCGCATTACACTGGCAGTTGGATACTCTAGAAGTAGCATAAAAACCAATTAATGATTCAGTTATATATATATATATCTGGTTCGCTCGTCAGGTTCTTGGTAGTCATCAAGCTCGGCAAGGAGGAGGAAGCATTCCTTGTGGTTGCGGGCGTAATCGTCAAACTTCCAGTTGCGTTTTGGTCCTGCGTAGGATAAAGCTAACCAGCGTCTCTCAATTTCGGCGGAGACATTGTTGGTGTATTGGGCCCCAAGCCGTGCGGATTTTAGGTCAAGAAATGCAGTTCTTCCGTCCTTTGTTCTGGCACAATGCTTGATGTCAGTCCAGTCAACAGTGTCTTTGAATAGCGCACTCAAAAGTTTCCAGAGGGTGGTATTGTCAGTGCGGAATGTGGCAACAAAGTCTCCTTGGGCGTTGACCATAGGAGCACGGGCAATAATTTCGTCCTCAATTGATGCATAATCGGTTGATGGATCCGGATCAGCTGGGATGGCAGTTGCGACACGAATAGTATAGCTCAAAGGGCAACCGTGGACTTCTTTGAAGTTTGTAAGGGATTCTTCAATGGTACGGAACGTTTTGTTCCAGTCGTTGCGGGTGATTTCGATATCGAGGGAGCTTGGTTCGGTCCATTGCTCTTCATGATCTCTGTTGATCTCAAGTTCGTCAGTTAGGACAGGGAGGCCAATGGTCGGAATAGCTAGATCGCGAGAGGTGCGGACACGGTGTTTTAGGAGCCATGCGACATCAGTGATGTCTTGCTGCACTTGGAACGGGATTGCGTGGCCACCCCCACCGCCTCCTGGGTGTCGAAGGGTCTTGACAAGTTTGCTGACAGTGTCAGGCTTGATCTTGGTCAGAGTTGCGGTACTGTTGATATTGTGATCGTCCACAATAGTGTCGGCAACGGCTTGAGTCAGGCCGATTTGGACAAAGAGTTGGCGCAGGATTGCTGGTTCGGCCATGGTTGAATTGGATATGCGGGTTGGAACTGTTGTTGTTGAGTTTCGTGTTGAAAATGAATTTTCTGTCACCACAGATGAATTTTGTGTGGGTTTTGGCGAATGATATGAACGTTTGTTCGGCTTGCGCGCGAGTCGGCGTATATAATAACGGATTTATTTTAAACGGTCCTGTGGGCGTTTTGGCGGATTGAGATTGCTGATATATAGAAATAAATCGCAAATCTTTCTCCCTCCAAAGGAGCTGCGTAAAGCGTCCCCTCAAGGTTGGATATTGTCTGATCTTACACTTCATAGAATGAAATGTATCCTATGCGCACCTATTGTATGATAGTCGATCATAACAAGGTGTAATCCAGCAATAGGTATCCTGACGTTGACATGTTGATCAACAGGTCTTTTAAAGTCTCCCACAGACTTGGACATTTGCCGTTGCAGGCAGGTCAGCTGGTGTTGCTATCGAGCAGTACAGCAGCGCTGGGTCTGATAAACTGGGCTAATGTGCCCGTTATTGAACGATAACAGAGCGATAAAGGGGTTTGACTATTAATAGTTACAGTGTTGTAAAAGGGAGATAGATAATCAAAATTATAAGCTACAGTATTGGTTGGCGATTGCCATTCATTCTAGTCCATCGAGTCAACTCGACACGGGGGATTGAATTCAGTTTATACTAGATCCCCCGGGGAGAATAGAAGGGGAGAGAGGAAGAAGAAAGAAAAAACGAAGAGAGAAGAAAAGAGGAGAAAGCAATCGGATTGCATTGAAGGGGCTCTACAACACAGTGCTGGTTTCATGCATGGCGTCGCAAGATGACATACGCTATTATCCTGGAGTTAGCCAGGATTTAGACGGATTTAGAACGAGGTAGCAATCCATGAATGTTTGATGTGATAATCGTTGCGTCTGAACCGCCTGCGGCTCATCCCGCCGCGATTTTTGGTGTCTCGAATACTTCAAGATTGGAAACATGAAAGTGATGTCAGTGTATATAAAGCGAGCGCAGCCCGATCTTGTGTCGACAACAAATCATTTGGAAGGAAGGTGAATCAAGGCATGAAATAATGCTCGACTCTAGCAGCTGATATTATTGCCATGATACTATTGAAACGCTTACTTATGCGAGCCTTGCGAGAACCAGCCAGTTTTGGATTCGATAGACAATCGGCGGTGTCCTCAATGAACTCAATACTTAGGGAACCAAGCAAGATGAGCAATGGCCACACAAAGCCCGATTTCATTGCAAAGAGAGTAAATACATGTTCTACGATTGAAGGCATGCAATAATCAACTGTTTTTTAGTAAGATTCACAGGCGAAAACATAGACAGAAACCTTTCATGGTTCCCTGTTGGCCAAAGCCGCGATAGGAAAGTCTGTTACAGTATAGTCATATATGATGCTTTCAGATTCGGGTATTGCACATTCTACTCTGACGGCAATACAATCAACCTTTTTGAACCCGTTTGAGACAATGGCTTGATTCCAAAGGTGAAGAGAATACTACCCACTACCTACCTATACCGACCCACTACCTACCTATACCGGTATCAGCAGTTGATTTCAATCTGCCATCAGAGAGGAAAACTGAACGATACTCGATAATACATAGTAGTACTCTATCTGCAAGATTGAAAAGTCAATTTCTATTGTTTGATCTATCTATTACCTCATGTAGTACCAGTCAATTTCAGTTGCCAACCTACCACCCCATTCTTCAGGGCAGCTAGAAGTGATCCTAGGGGATCTACAGCGCTTCTTCATGATCGAGGGCTACGATTGGTCCTTAAGACAAGGTGTTTAGTTGTTTGATAAGACAAAGAGAAACTGCTATAGCCGTATGGAGCTTGGACCTAACATCCCCCTAACATCATTTGAAGTCTGTGGAGAGTACTAATTTAGTGTGGAAGAGAGTTAGTCGAATCTATCATTAGTGATAGAGAGCTGTGATTGGCTCATACCACTAATAATAGCTCCAACCACCGAGTCGCCACAAATCAAGCAATCGATCCTCCAACAGTCTGTGAACTCCATCAAGCAGGCAAAGACAACAATGGAACACAAGGTGGATTTCTTGAAAAAGCGCTACACATCAGTATGCCCAGATGTTCGCTCGCGCGTCAACGCCGCCACCAGCGAATTGTTCGACGTGACCAGCGATGTGTGCGAGTTCACAAGCCTACATGTCATCGACAACATGGGACAAGCAATCGCTACAGGACCGGGACCAGGACTTCCAGCCCCATTTAGAGCTGCTGCTACATACTTCTGAATCGAGCGCCGATTGGTCCCACGGCTTTGTTCCCTACAAACTGACATTGGAATCAACCCAACAAAGTTCCCACCATCTTCCAATAGAGCTGTATACATTCCAGTGCCATGAGTCCAGAAGCAGATGGACGTATCCATCACTCGCCAAATGGCAATGGACCAAGCACATCACAAGGAAATCATCGCAGCAATGGCAGCATTGGGAGAAGAGTTCTTGATGAGAGCCGCAAACAGAGATGGAGAACCTGACAACAAAGCCTACAAAAAGTGGTCCAAGCAACAGATCGCAAAGACCCAATTTCAAGCGCTAGAACAAGCACTCATGGCCACCTATGTTGGACTGAAACAAGGAATGGAGACGCCAAACCAACAACTGGCAAAACTCAACATGATCGGATACGAAGGAGGCACGATGATGTACGACAGCGTGGCTACTTTATTTGGCAGAATTGCCACGATTCTAAACGGGTTCAACCACAAGATTCCCCCACCAACCAACCTATCAGACTTGACAGGAGTAGCGTTCCAAGCCTTCACACAAGAAGTCAAGGACGTTGTGGCTGAACACCTAGAGACGGGAGCAGCAGGACCACTACTTATGGACTACCCCAGCAACCTGTCTTGAATACACCGCCTACGCGAACAAGCAGAGAAAGAAGAGAAGCGCATCAAGCAAATCATGGGAATTGCAAACAGCGCGGGACTAGTCAGACCAAACAGAAGCTGCGTTCCAGGACCATCTGCACTAATGAGACCAGGAGGAAGAGCTTTTGCGGGATTCCACCAACAAGGATTCCAAGGATTCCAAGGATTCCAAGGATTCCAAGGATTCCAAGGATTCCAGGACGATCGCTCCTCCAAGCTCCAGATATTGAGACCCCCGGAGCCTTCCACACCGCAATGACGCCCCCTCCAACTACGCCGAAGGAAAACGTTCAAGTCACTGACGGCCAAGGAAGACAATTAGTGGTCCCAACATCCGACAGCAAACTATACTGCCCGGAAGCAGTCGTCGACATGCTGTCGTGCATGACTATTATGGAGGAACTCGGACAACAGCAGGAAGAAGAAAAAGGGTGGACAATGCTCAGCCAAGCGGAAGAAGCACTGCAAGCGGCAAGCGGCAAGCCATACCCAATCCACTGTTGGGGATGCAACAAGGAAGGCCACAACTTCCGAGACTGCCCACACAAAGAGGACCCCCAAGTCCTAAAACGTTTCTATGAAAAACTGGACCAGTGGAAGCAATGAAAGAACAAAGAACGCAATCAAAATAGAAATAATAATTCTCATTATAGACGAGGAGGATATATGACCCAAGCAATCTGCGATACAGTTCGAGCCATCGAGGATCCACAGACAGAATTGGGGGAGAGGACAAACCTGTTGGTGAATCTTGTTGAAGCGGTCACGGCCCACACTTCCACAGCGGCAGCAAGGAAAAGACCAAAACGGCAGTCAACCCAGCCGGCACTATCACTCGTCACCTTTGGAAGCTTTGCGGCCATGGAACAAGCCCACCAGCTGAACTTCTTGGTAAACGACATGCTGGCAAATGTATGAGCAGGCCCTGAAATGGTACGGTAACAATGCCGATATGTCCCTCAAAGCAGCTATGAGGGCTGCCAATTTTTCTAGCAAAGATGCAAAATCTTCAAGCGAGCAAATAAAAATCCGGCCCCTTCTGCCTACAAAGAAACAAAGGAGAGGAGAGATGCACCTGCACCAATGCAATTACAACTAGGGTTAACACCACCAATATTCGAAATCATGTCTATTTTGTCTGCTTTGACTACATCTACTGCAGCTTCTAAAAATTCCTTTTACCCATCACCCGCACCGCCAACAACAAAGAAGAGGAAGCCCAACACTGCCCTTGCCGTCCGCCTCAACTCCTCTCAAAAAACGAAGGTCAACAACAACAAGAAGGCATCAGGAGTGGTCAAATATATTGCTCATAAGGATGCAACAAGAAGGTTGGCAAGAGAATGGTCAAAAGATGCCTCCGATCCCTCCACTGTTGGGATATGACGAAATATGAGTTTTTACGTTCCAAAAGAAACTATTCAAGTACAAAGTTTTGACACGCACGATCGGACTTTGATCGTGATGTCGGCATTCGACGCAAGTCTGCCAGACAATCTATATCCACACGAAAAGGGAAAGACCCTATACAAGTGAAATATTGATGTTGTGTACGATGCAGTAGGGAATAATACAAGATGTCCCAAAGTACTGCATTTGACACAGAATCCTCGTAGAAGCCGAATCGAGTTCTGTAAACAAGGGATTTTCCAAGGGAAAATCGTTGAACTCACTTTTGTGATTGAATCATCAATTCAAGCCAAACATTAATCAAATAGGAACAATTTCACTCAAAGTATACTTAACACAGGAGAGCTATTGTCGTGAAAGTGTTGTACAGTCGATTACGAATTTAGATTGCAGAGAGTTTGTTCTGAGCGCTAAAGGCACTCATGATAGAGCACATTTTGCTTTATTCTAACATTTAATCACAAAAGGCAACAAAACAAATATACGTCAAGAACAGCACTGCCTTATCTACAAAGGAGTGAGTGATTTGTTGACAATGGGACATTCTTCTTCCGGTGGAGGAAAAGGACGTGTGACTCCTCAGAAAGTCAAGAGCAATTCGAGTTCAACAGTTGTGAAACATCTATTTTCAACTAAAGATGAAAACGATGGAAAGGCAAGATTGTCGTACGAAGATGCCAAAGAAAGAGTGATTGATTATATCCAAGCTTCTGGAATGAAATGCTCCAAAGACATGGTGAAATCTATTTGAGATGGGAAGTCGATCAACTTCAATGCAATTGCTCCAACATTGAATGCTCCTGCTCAAACTGAAGCTGTTCCAAGAGAAACAGAGATGGCTCAAAACAAGATTATCTATTCTGCAAAGCTCGACGAGAACATGCAAAGATCAGCCTACTTCGAAACGAAAAAGAGAACTGTATGCTTAAGTTTGTGACAAAAGCAATGGATATGAAGCTTCGAGGTGAGGCCAATTTCACGACTACTCTTGAAGATCCAATTGAACTCTTGAAACGTATTGAACGATTCATGAAGAAGAGTGCCGATGCTGAGTATGACTCCTTGGATTTCTGGGAAGCCAATCAAAAGTTCTTTGCTATGAAGCAAGGAGCAACAGAAAACTTGATGCATTTCAAGGAACAATTCTTGAGACAGGCTGAAGTCCTGCAAGATCTATATGGCGTTGCCTGGTTCCAAAACTTTGCAGTCAAGACGAAAGCGTATGCTGCTATTGCTAGCACCGATACTGCTGCTAAAGACAAGTTCAAGGATGATATCTTTGAAACCGTTCTTGCAACAGGATTTCTGTGCAACTGTGATCGAACGAGAACAGCTCCTCTGATGCTGGATCTTCAGACGAACTACTGCAGGGAAGTGGATTATTATCCAAAGACGGTCAGCAAAGCACAAGATATGTTGAAGATTCACATGCATGGATGTGATTAAGAATCCGGGAGTGAAGCTATACCAAGGAAAAGACCAACCAAATAAAGGTAAAGGTAAAGGTAAACCAAAGGACAAAAAGAAAAAGGCAGCATGTTATGTATGTGGCAGCAAGGATCATATGTCTCCAAAATGCCCAGACAGACTGCTACCAGAGATTCAATGGAAGCATCTGAAACACTATGTTGATTATGGGAAGAAGCTCAATCTTAATCAGATTGGAGCAACTGTCCCAGCTACAGTTCCTGGAACTTCTCCAGCGACAAGCATTATCACTGGTGGAACATCAAGTGTTATGGGAAGCGTTAACACACCTTTGCGACTTACTGGTACTACAGGTAATCAGATGATGCAAGTACCTTCGGGAATGCAACTGATGCAGATACCAACTCAAGGTGGCGGCACTGTGACTGTCCCTTACTCAATGAATGCTAATGGTGAGATTGCGTTCAGTGGAATGCAACTCAGCCAACAAGGCTTCAGTGGTGCTCAAGTGCGCCAAGGATTTGATGCAACCCAAGCTCAAACCCCGCAGGTCATGAAGACTGGCTATTTTGATACGTCAAATGTCTTCCACGATGCTATCAAGGGAAAGGATGAGAATGGCAATGATGTCTATCTTATTCCATGTCCTACTGGAACGACTAATGTTGAACTTCAATCCGACTGGCACTATGCTAGTGAAAATGAAGACTTGCCAGATCTTGCTACTGAAGCAGATCAAGGTATGCAGTTCATTCAAATCTGCAGAAACGAAAGGGATCCATTTGGTTTGCTTGATCACGTCATCATGGACAGTGGTTGTACAAACACCACCATTTGTAATGGTGAGCTCATGCATGGACTACGTCAAGCTGAGAAAGAGCTCAATATGCACACTAACGTGGGCAGCAGAGTCCTTGATGAAGAAGGATTTCTAGGAAGATTTCCGCCCCCCAGTCTATTATGATGAAGACGGAATTGCCAATGTACTTGCTATGCGCGAGATGATTGCTGCGGGATACCGCATTACCATGGATACTGATTTTGACAATGCCTTTGTTGTGCATTGCGATGGAGACAGACAGATGCGATTTATGAATCGCAAGGGTGTGTATGTGTTGGAGCAACTTGGAGCAAATGTCGAACCAGGTGCCAAAGAGACAAGTGCGATGTATTGTCGCCAGTTAAGCAACGTAAATAAACAACCCCATTTCGAACTTTCTTCAAAACAGAATGGATATGCTGGACTTTGGATGACTGCGAAGATGGCAACTGTTTGAAAGAACAAGGAAAGATTCACTCCAAGACAAGTCAAGGCTGCAATGGAAGCAAGAAGTGCTGTGCACATACTCAATGCTCCAAGCACCAAAAGTCTGAAGTATGCAATCCGATCTGGTCTCATCAAGAACTGTCGTATCACTGAAGAAGCGACCAATCATGCCGAAGCAATCTTTGGACCTGACGCATCTACTTTGAAAGGCAAGTCGACAAGACCAACTCCGAAGAAGACACACAATGACTTCTTCAGTCCACCAGAGGAATTGTATCAACACAATCGAACAATTACCGTCTGTATTGATCACATGGAGATCAAGAATGCTAAGTTTCTCACCTGCATTGATACCACTGTGCGTTATCGCTCATGTATTCCCGTGCAGAACCTGAAGACTGACCCTGTATTTGACGCATTGGATAAGATATTCCGCCGCTACAATAAGGCAGGCTTTCATGTCAAGACAATCAAGTGTGATTGAGCTTTCATCCCTCTGACGGATGATATGCTAGATGATATGGGTGTTACTATTGACCCAACTGCAGCTGGAGACCACAAGCCTACAGCTGAGCGAAACAATCGAACGCTGAAAGAAAGAGTTAGAGTAGCTCTTGCACGATTACCCTACAGAGTGGTACCAAAGGTGATCACTGAATGTCTTGAATGTCTTTCCCCCAAAAGACAGTATTTCCTCACATTTTAGTCCGCAGCAACTCATTGATAATGTCAATATCAACTACAAGAGTGACATGGTTGCTGAGCTTGGACAGTCTGTTCATGCAATTGGGACGGATTCCAATAATTCGATGGAACCGCAAAGTATTGAAGCAATCTACATTGAACCTACGAAGGGACAACGTACAGGGCACCAAGTGCTCAACCTCAATACTAAGAAGATGATTTCTCGACCCAAGGTTGTCGTACTACCCGTTACCGATCAAGTAATCCAGCGTGTTGAAGCTTGGGCTGCTGCCA